ATCCCGTCCAGAAGACCTATACAATTTTTTTCTTTTTGATTTTTTACCTGGATTACTGACATGCATCAGGACATTGATTGTACATACAGGAGTAAATATGATTCAAGATGGCTGCCACATCTCAAAACACAAGTGACTTGAAATTCAGTTTTACAGCCTTTGAGCTAAAATTTAGTGTGGTAGTAGCTGAGAGGCATCCACAACACCTATACTGAGCATTACCACGAGAGGTAAAATATGTATTATAGGTTGCCTTCAGGCCCAGGCTGCCCTTGCAAGAGTTCTGTGAGCTCAGTGTGATTTGTCTGGTTTAAAAATGGTAAAATAAAATGAAAATGTTTTGTTTATTAAATGAGCGTGACTTGTAAGATGATGGGGCAATATGCCTTCCTTCAAGAACTGCTTGTTTTATTTAGCATGTGGAACATGATAAGAACTTTTATTTTTACTTGTTTTTTTGTATATTTCTTTGCAGTCTGATATGTGTTCTTGTTTGATGGTTGCACCCCCCCCCCCTTTTTTTTACCAGGTTTTCCAAATTTGCTCAACTATTTTTTATATTCTTGTATTTTCCACTAAAGATCAAACAAATGTTCATAACAAGACAACATACTTTTGATAGCAAAGATGTACATTTCATTTTGAACCCATACTTGAATTGGGAACAATATTACCGGCCTGTACAGTCTCTTGCATTTTTTTAAACAAGCCATCAATAAAAAAAATTGTAAATAAGGATGTGAGAAGAAAAGCAAGTATGAGTTGAACAGGAAGTGAAGGAGACAGCAGGACAAACTGAACTTTAGACATGTTTCCTACAGAAAGCTGAGGATTTCTGGATGAGTCATTTTCACCCAGYGAGACGTTTCCACTCGCTGAGCACATCTGGGACATCCTCCTTGCTGTCCTYCCTTCACCTTCCTTCAGACAACCCAGATTTACACACAGTGATGATTATAACTCCCTCTACGTCTGATTAGCTTTTGAAGCCTGCTCAGTTCAAGATAACTGCCTCAGCCAAGTGAATTTAGAAACCGTRACTATYATTCAGTCAGTTTTACAGATATTGAGCTCAGATTTGGTGTGATTGTAGCTGTGAGTCACCCATTCAAAGTTATTTTAAGGTTAGACTAAAATAGCTAAAACGTTCATTTCTTAAGTTATAAAACCCCATCATGAAAGGTGGCAGGTGATTCGCATTCCTTTCTATATTTACCAAGCTGTTTTTTGCACTTGCTGCTTCCTCCACAGTGTTAAAAATCTGACCCTGTGGTGACATGAGGTTTTGGGTCATGTTCCCACATGTTGTGGTTTATTTTGGGATCATTAGTGTGAGTGATGCCTTTGGCTGCTGACCAGCAAGCCGAAAATCACATAAACTTACATGCAGAAAATATTTCTCTGTCACTTTCTGTGTTTTAGAAAGAGGAGAGAGGGTGGGGTTCGGCGGCAGCCTCCACAGGCTTCTCTGGGAAAACACAAACTCTAAACAAGAGAATTCACCGGAGTGCAGACGGGTCGAGACCCAGAGCAGAACCCTGCATTCCTCTGCTACCCTGTGCTTTGAGCCTGCTGCTTCTGCTGCTCACTGAGAGACAGAGATGGAAAACTGGAAGAGAAGGTGAGGTGACCGAGGCAGCGATGAGGCGGAGAGACACGCAGAGGATGACTAAGAATGTGGGGGTCCCTCAGTGGGACATTCTTCTCAGGGCATTGTTTGAGCATCTGCAGGATGTCCAGCAGTAGCAGCTTCCTGTTTCATTACTCATAACTCTGCATCTGTCCAGCACCATAGAAATCTGCTGTAAAACAATTCCTTTGATGTTTTTTATGGGAAATAAATCTTCTGATTTTTTTGTTGTTGTTATTTAGTCATGCTTTAATATCAGCTATTTTCTGTTATTTCATGTTCATGTACCAAAATGACTGTGAAGGCTGAGTGCTAAAGAAGTTTGCCGAATTTTGCTAAGTCGTTAAACAATCAGAGTAAAATATCTAATTAGCAAAACAAGAACTAAACACTTAAATCAGTAAGTGCTAAAAGCTGGAATTAGAAAAAATGCTAAAATCATCAGAAAGGTACATAAAAGCAAAAGCCCACAGGTAAAAATTAAAATTTGTGTAACTGAAGTGAAAATCCTAAATTATACGCCAAATTAGTAAAACAACAGCTATATGGCAAACTAGCAAAATTRTAGCTAAAAGCTATGACCTGCAGGACAGTAGCTCAAAGCTAAATTCACTAAAACAGTTGCCAAAAGTTAGGCTAAACAAAACCTAAAACCACCTGAAGAGCAGCTAAAAGATAAAGCCTGCTGGTAAAAGTTCAAATGTATGTAACTAAAGCTAAAATGAGTAGAAATAAACCAAATAAATAAAACAACAGCTATAAGGCAAACTGGTAGCTAAGCTAAAACCAGCATTAAAAGTAGCTAAAAGCTTAAATCGTCTGAAAAAAGTATGCTGTAAAGTTTCAAAGAGCCCAAAGTTTTCAGAGGATTTGAAGAGCTCTCAATGTGATTTATTTTAAAAAAAGGTAAATAAAGTTTAAAAACTCAAAAAATATGAAAGTGGTAAAAAACCAAAAGTCACAGTCT